CCCTCTACAAATGCGACTCTTTGAAATCATCATCTAAATGATTATGATTCCTCCTCACTAGCTATATGTATGACTATATACACTACAATTGTCATTGTGAACACTTCAGTGTACTATATACTATAGTACAAATGATATGATATGCTCAATCATACTAAACTTGATAAGTATCATTGAACTACTCCATTTAATGCTGAATCAATTTGATTCTACATGTACAATCCATTCTAATTGTCTACAAACCTTTGACACTCTCATCTGAGCATACCAAATGCAAATCGTCTTGTCTGGAAGACTACAATCACTTTATACAACAAGATATGATACAATACTCGTAACTGGAACGTATTATCTACATGGACCTAGACACACCTGTCTGAGCATCCCAAACACACATTGATTTATTAAACTAACAAGACATGTATTGGATACACAATACAAGACATATATTGGATACAGACAATGTATTAGATGTCTAAGACATACAGACAGATGAACTAGTTGCTTTAAATGTAATGAGTACTCAATAATACTATATCCAAATGCTGAATTACTTCATCTTACACTACAGAGACACATTATATTAATAATGTCTCACATAACAAACAAACATTTGATAGTATATCAATAATATAAATGATTAATACTATAAACGAAAGAACAATGCTAGCAAAGTATAATAACAATATAAAGAAATATATTGCAAAAGTATAATCAATCTAATAATGATTAGGCAAACAAATAAAACGAAAACAAGAGTATAAATGCTACTAAAGCATAATAACTCAAATATAAAAACAATTTATACTATCACAAATGAACAATCACAATAAATAACATATATTTACAAAATACAAACATATCACATAGATAAACGAATATACGAATGTATGAAGTAATAATAATGCATTCGAATGCATAAAACTATTAATTGTTGAATAACACAATGTTGTATACAAAATACAATTGAACAAACACATAATAACACATAAAACAAGTAATAAAACATACGAAACAATGTTGCAAACAGTCTAAACATATAATAACAAACATATATACTTATACAAAGTATTACATTAAATTAAAACATAACACTACAAACGATGAAACAATATAATGATGCATATATGTATAATATCAACACAATATCAATACTATACAGGCAAATACATATCTTATACCTTGCACAATTACTATTACAATGCAAAATCAAATGAATGATAGTTACAAATACATTGTAACAATATAATATATCAATAAGATATACATGATAACAAAGTATTAAGTCAATACAATTAATACAATCAGTATAAACAATATAAACAATTAAATATCACTTAAAAACGTGACGAAATACAATAATACAGATGCAAAACAAAACAACTAATGCTATGAAACATTAGAGCCTAATATCAGATAGTCTGAAGGGCTATACAACAGAACAAACACTGCTGCCAAGTACACAAAAGACAAACGAATGTTAGAACAAAATCCAAAGAAACAAACATAAGTTTGGAACTCAATCAAACACTTTACAAATGATTAAACACAATGTGTGACAGATTTAATAGATCACTGCAAATGGCAGAAAGATAGAATTCACAAAGAATAAATCTATGATCAATACTTAAAGTATATCATTAGCTATTTGAAGTTCAAACAATATCATAACAGTGTATTCTTCATTAACAGCCTTACTTGAGCTTGTACCTATCACAAAAGAATAAAATACATAAACAGAACAGAAACAAAATACTATAGCTCAAATACTTTTGTCATCAAACAGAAGACAAATGATACTGAGCAAATCTAAACAATGCATCATAATGTATACAAATAAAACGAACGAAATTGCAAACTTATGCTTGCTAAAACAACACTATACTAAATGATTAACAAACTATTTGGACGTATGCATAATAATCAAACAAAATACACAAGCATACACACAATCTATTTGAGTATAAACTTGAATAACAAAGAGTACAAATGCCATAAAGAATTAATAACAAAATCGGACAAAAATAACAAATAACATCAAAGTTATTGAATAAAACACATTCACACATTAATACACAATGCTTAAACAAATGATTAAATGATGAAAATGTATGAACGAATTAATTACACACACACAAAAGCTAATTGCTCAAAGCAAACCTTCTCGAATTGAAGGGGAGTAATAGTATATATTCACAAACATAAAATTCACAAAACATAAAACATAACGAATAATAGAAACATAGCAAACGATTAAATGATGCAGAAATATTGACTACATCACTATTTAACCTTACACATCCTACAAAACATAATTACAAAGTTATCACAACAAATAAGAAGCAAATCCATTGAATTCAACAATGAAATACTTATGTAAGAGACATTTTCTCTGAAATCTTTAATGGTCACACCATACATGGCACCAATTGAACGTATTACAAACGAATATATTATAGAGCATATACCTAAACATGAAGAAGTACACTACATACAAAGATGTTGAGTAGAAAAGCATCTCTAGTACATAACAAACTATACAGAAATATTGAACACAACTATGCTTTCCTCAAATGGAACATATAATACATTAAAAATAATGATCATGCATTATGCAAAACTTACAATACTTATTCCCTAGCATGTGGGACATAATAGCAAACAAATAATCAACCAAACAAAGTAATATTTGGACAGATAATTAAGAATTAACACAATGTAGCTAAGGAATAGCACATATTCCCAAAGCAATCAACACTAGACACACAAAGCACTCATGTAAGTTAATTAAAAGAAGCAACAGACATAACAGTAATCAAAACGTTAATCCTTTCAAAGCAAACAAGATAACGTTGATCATAATGAACAAAATGAGCAATACACTCAAAATTAACAAAATAAATTCATATCTCATAACAAACACACACATATATTCAGCAAATAAAGTGAATATAATGATTAAAACAATATCAAACAGAATTTGACACAAAATAAGCAATAAAACAAACAAATATTACAATATATGATGAAAAATAGAACTGTGAAGCACACTACTTCATCTATCTACAAAATAAAAGCAACGAATGTGTATTATAACTGCACAGAGCAATATATTAATTGAATAAACATTATGCAATGATAATAAAACATTATCACAACAATAAAACAATACAAACATACGAATAATGTTATAGTTTGTAAAAGTCAAAGGACACATTAAATGATAACAAACACAATGCACACATATATTGATAATAAATATATCTACTGTAAAACAGCAAAACAATACAAACATATCATATGTTTAAAACATAAATAATGTGCCTAAACAGACTTACAAACAGTCAGATGATAAAACAATACAAATAACAGAAGAATAAAACCTCAATCAACCTTAATATGAAGTGATCTAACATATCATACATGATATTACAAATTGTGAACAATACAATGCTTCAATATAAAGGTATAGAACTACAATTGAATGCTTAAAAGGTATGAATACGAAACGAAACGAACAATGATGATACATGATGAATAGAGGACATCATAATAACATCAATAACACATTTTACAAGCATGATTCAACAGTTTCATTACAAAAGTAAAAGTGGAAAAACTACTAGTAACACAATTCAAATGTGCAAGAATACAAATTAATGTGAACAAATTAATAACACACACATTGTTATTAAATATAGTATTAACTATACAAACAAAACAATACAAACAAAGTACAATTCTAATTACACAACGAGTGTAAGAATATAAAACAAACTACACATATAATAATATGAATACAAACGAAACGAATAACAGAACAACTGCAGAACAGTGCAGTATGAAGAAATAAACATACTATGACACGAAACAAACAATATGACATGAAAAACAAACGAAACAAAGTTATAACATATCATATTAAATTGTGAACAAGAAAACTACTATCATACAAATGATAAAACATTATAGTGACAACTATAACATTAATAATATTAAAACTACAAACGAACAAACACTAAAGAGATCCTGCAGCTCTCTTAGCAATCATAATTGAATTAACAATCAATTTATTACATCAAACGTTATAATAATACATTGGACAAACACAACACTTACAGTGGACTTAATATACAAAGTAAACGAAACATTTACATTGCAGATGTAAATGATATTAGTAAAACAACAAACGAACACTTATCAAACATTATATTAGCCTGATCAACTAGTATAAGTTTGAAGGGGAGTGTTAGCATTTATTCTGGATAAATGTGTCATATGTCTTAGACATGTCTTCTGAGACATACATCTGAGACACACAATATTAGATAGCATATATAATACTTAATATAAGGATGATGAAGCTCACAGGGACACATATAACAGTACACAACACATTACCAACTATGCAGTCGACTTGTATCAACACCTACACACCATGAGCAGAGCCCACTGAACCCCTACTAGTGTGAACTACTCTAAGGGAATCATTGCAACCTCAAAACGCTAACAGACCCCTTACAAGCTTGACAAGACTGTGAGACACAGAAGTATTAGGGGCACACATACACAGGAACAAAGATGTGAAACTGAAACATCCCTGAGTGGATTATGGCCCCAAATCCTGCAAGTTAAACCACTTAGTCTGATCTTTGCCCAATAGTGTTTGGAACCCTGACAAGCAGTATAGTTCTGGGTCTTGTTATTGGCTGGTGTGTGGGCTGCAATCTAGAAACTGACGAGTTAAATATCCCTTAGTCCAATCTTTACCCAGTGGTGCATCTGCAAAATCCAATCTTGTTGAGAACTGGCAATTAAGTACTGCTGTATTCTAAGGACACCAAAGTGTCTCTCGTAAATCAGGGGGGATCCATGCAAGTAATTCATCACTTTTGCCAATGATCCAGCCATTGTAAGACAGAGTCCAGCTTGATTCAGGATGCATGGCAGGCAACATTACATTAACTCTTTCTTCCACACTAGAATTGACTGACTTCCAGTTAATTGAGTCTGATAGAGAGGATACAACTGTCAGCCATATATTTTCTAACTAGGAGACTTGAGACGTCCTCACCTCTTTTGGCGTTCCAGACCCAAATTATGTCATCTCCAGTATATGCTACAGAACGGCAGAGAAGGTGCTCTCCATTGGCTGAGAAATTAAGGAAGCCCACTGTTGGTTTATCTACTTCAAACAGTCCTGTGACAGCCTTCCCACTTTGTACATCCCAAATCCGAACTGCTCGAGAGAAGCCAAATGCAATGTGCCTTCTGTCTAGCAAGAAAGTTGCTGAGTAGGCATCTTTTTCTGTGTACCCTTCTAATTGTCTTGCTACAACATTGCAACTTTTAATATTCCAAACCTGAAGTGTTCCATCTCCAGAGACAGAAGCAATGTGCTTCTTGTCAGGCAAGAAAACAACTGACATGGTGGACCGTTTGTGCCCCCTGTATGGGCCTGCAACAGCCTTCCCATATTTTGTGTCCCAAATCATTATGTTTTCACCATGAGTCGAGCCAGAGACAAAAAATCCCCCATCAGGCAAGAAAGCTACCAAATTAGCTTTGTTGTTGCTATACAATCCTGCAACAATCTTTCCTTTATCATCACCTGAAATCAGAATTGTGCCATCATTAGAGACAGTAGCAACACGTTTTCCATCCAGTGAGAGTGCAAAGACAGTTGCCTCATCCAAGTCTATATGCACTTCAAACGGTTCCACAGAGACTTCACTGCTTTCTGTATCCAAAAACCGAAGATACTTGTTCCGAGACCAGGAAACAATGTGCTTTCTGTCAGGAGTGAAAGTAATCCAATTGCTCCTCCCTCCATACAGTTCAAACGGTCTGGCAACAACCTTCCCATAATTACTGTCCCAAATCAAAATTTTACCATCTCTGTAGCCAACAGCAACACGCCCTCCATCAGGCGACAGGGCAGCTGAGACAATTTCTTGTTCACACTGTTCAGACAATCCTGTGAGAATCTTTCCAAACTCGGCATCCCAAATCCGAATTGTGCCATCAGAAGATGAACTGGATGCAACACGCTTCCTGTCAGGCAAGAAAGCGACCGAGTCGACATTCCCTGCTCTAAATGGGCCTGTGAGACACTCGCCACTTTCTATGTCCCAGATTCGAATTGTCCGATCCTTTGAGTTAGAGACAATGCGTTTTCCATTGAAAGAGAATACAACTGTGACTGAGGTGCCTATAAATTTGTATCCTTTAAAGGGCCCTGTAACAACTCTCCCAGTTTGAGCATTCCAGATGCAAATTGTGTTGTCGTGACAGCCAGAGGCAATATAATCTCCTTTTGGCAAGAAAACTAATGATTGAACATAGCCATTATGTCCTTCAAACGGCCCAACAACCACCTCCCCGCTTCTTATGTCCCATATTCGAATAGTCCAGTCGTTGGAGACAGTGGCAATGTGTTCTCCATCTGGCGAGAAAGCTACCAAAGCAAAACCATCACCATGCACGTCAATTGGACTTGGGACAACTGCTTCACTTTCCACATCCCAAATTCGAATAGGAGTAATAGGATCAGAAGATCCAGTGAAAACATATTTTCCACACAGTGAGAAAGCAACAGATGAGACAGCTCTTTTGTGACTCCCAGATGGATGTGTGACTATCCTCCCACTTTCAGCATCCCATATTATAACTGACCCATCTGTAGCACCAGAGACAACATGTTTCCCATTGGGCGAAAATGCTACTGGACCGACGTGGTAACTGTGCCTGTGGAATGGGGCAGTGACAACTTCGCTGCTTTCTAAATGCCAAATCCGAATAGTGTGCTCGTAAGAGCCACAGACATATCTCCCATCAGGTGAGAATGTGACGGATGAATCGAACAATCCACTCCTAATTAAAACTTTGATGCATGGGTTCGGCGGTTTAGTCCCAAAGCGAGTCACATGAATAGTGGGATGGGTTTGACAATAGTGTTTGGCCACCACCGATTCATCATTTGCAAGAGAAAGCATGGAGAGGTAGATATGGGGAGCACTCTGCGCAATTGGTGACGAAAAGATGATGACCAGCTTGTATGCGTCCCATAGAAATGACGAAATCCCAGTTTCATCCGACTATGAATGAAATTAGTATTATACGCACATGGAATGTCATACACACATACAGCAGACCATAAGACAGCATCCAAGAGTGCACGACCGGCAAGACGAGTGAAATGTTTCGTCAGACTGAGGACCTCCAACCAGTATGGAAGATGATTGTACGCGTATTTTTCCAGTCTGTCTGCCATATCTTCAGAATTCGACACATCGCAAAGATGCCCGGACCAGAAACGGCATGCATAGGTGAGGTGCGTCGGTATATATGTTGTAATGCGGCCCTCGATTCCAGGGACATCATCGTTCTTGAGGAATGACGTCTCCAGATCGCAAACATTGAAGCGTAGCAGCTGCTCCATAATGTCGAAACATCTCACTGTGATTGTACGCCTCTGACTATTGGTATCAATGTACCATGGGTGATTACCGGAACGCTCGTACGACAAAAGGTAGTCTGCGAACGATGCGTGATAGAGACGAATGGACTGTCCGTACTCGTACGCGAGAACGGACCGCAGTCTCTGGAGCGTTAAACGCGCCTTCCCTTTTCCAAGGCCCAAAATACTGTCAATATTATCACCAGAAAGAGGCTCCTTTCCGAAAAGAATAAGTCCAAGGATGTTACGGAATCGTTCAACCGATTTCGGCGACTGCCATGAAATCCCCGACTGCTCAAGCACGGTAGCATATAGATTGTCAAGTCCGTTGAGTAAACGTACATTGGACACAAGCCCCTCAAGCTCTTCAAACGGATCATCACTATTCATTACCATCATAACGGCCGTTGTCGCCCAGATGAATAGCCCGTCAGCAGCATCACTGAGCATTGTCATTGCATCAGTCCATGCGAACCCGTCTGGTATTGGATCTTTAATCGCCTTGTGCATCATATTCTGAATGTAAGCAAGTACATCATTTCGACTCTCGATCGCAGTATGTTCAAGCCTGACCTCGAGAATATGCTTCTGTGAGGAGAGCGAGTGCATGATGTCGTTTTCAGGTCGGCTTGTGACGAAAAATCGGAGTTCCAGTGGTAGCTTCGCAAAGTCAACTTTAAGTAACTCCAAGATCTCCCTGCGCTGCTCAGTGGTTCCACACTCGTCTAGCGCATCGAGAATGACGACTATTGGCCCTCTGACAGCACCTTTGGCAGATTTGAGAGGTTCCAAGAGAAGCTTTTCAAATTGTCGCCGAGTCTCTGATCCTGTTATATTCTTAAGCTGTTCAGCAACGGGAACTATGTATGCTGCGAGGATTGGTTCGAACGCCGCCAACTGGTAGGCGATGGTCCTGATGATAGACTTGTACTCGTTCTTTTCCCGTTCAAAGAAAAGGAATGCAGCAAGACGGGATTTGTCGTCGCAGAGGTCTGTGATAGAAGCAGCAATTGTACTCTTCCCAGACCCAGCGATCCCATTGAGCCAGAGAATATTCTCCTTAGGAGGCGAGAATAACCATTCCTCTATGTCTCTCAAATACCCCGTGCGGGTATTCGGGAGGCAGCGAGCACGATCAGACGTATCAGACTTTATAGGGTCTAGCAGATCTTTGAACCTTTGAAGTCGCTGTTCCTCCAGCTGGAACTGTTGCCGCAAATCTATCATGGGCTTGTTAGTATGGCCTGAATATAAATCAAATGCATGGTATGCACCAGCTTCGGCAGCCTTAATAGAGATATTACTGATCTTGGTGGAAATATCATCAATCGTGCCAGACACATGTTCTGCAGCAGAGGCATTGTGTACAGCAATGCTTGAGTCAATATTCTGTCTGAGGATAATGAGTTTCTCTTTGTATTCGTCCATCTTTTGACTACTGGTTATTCTCAGAATTCTCTCTGATATTGAGTTTAGTTACTGCACAATTGGATGTGAAAAATAAAGTACCTGAGAAGTTGCACAAAGTATACTCTTTCACAAAATAGTAGACCAGAATAGTGAAGTGTAAGACTTCTCCAATGGTCCCTTTGAGCCATGTGGCTTTATTGTGCAGAGTGTCTGCCCCACATGCAAATTCATAAGTGTCCTTCAGAGTGTTGGTCAGATCAATAAGCTTTTTGTCAGCTTGCCATTGGCGAGAAATAATCTGTTTGTAAACCCAAATTTAAACATGGCTGGATGCAGTAAGGTGTGCAGGAACATACCCTGTAAAGAGTTGTGGTTGCTTTCCATACAAGATTTAGATATGGGTGAATCTAACAACCATACATTGTGAGCAGTCCTCAGTTAGGTGCAGACTCAGACTGACATTCTCGACAACATTATCAATAGCATCAACTATTTTGTCCACCACTTCAACAGCCAATCTGACTGCATCAACACAGTTTGCAGCATTTGCTGACTTTTCAATACATTCTATTATTATGAGATGATTAGTTCATCAACAGACGAACCACAAGACAATGACTTCATAATGTCTCAGTTAGAATACATACAATATAAGGACAAGAGACACTGAGCAGTCAATTGTCACCTCACCCCTTGTCTATACATGCCCCCCTTAAGTTCTCCCTCTAAACAGGTTATGAGCCTTGTGCTCCCTGCATACACGCATCCACTGTACACTCTAAACTCTTTACTCACATACATTTGCACACATTTGCATCATGGTTCCCCCATGTACAGATACACACTGTAAACCAGCCAATGTACCTAAATACTTTGGTCAAAACATCACAATGCTTAAGACTGAAGCAAACTACAAGATGTGGCACTACTGCATTGTTTCTAGTGTCACAACTATGTGCTTCAAACACTTACTAAAGGATGAACTGTAGAACAAAGTCAAGAGGGAGATGGCTAAGGCCATTCATACATACATAGTCAATAACATTGCTGACACAATATTGGCAAACTATATGCACTTCAATATGTCTATCCCTCAGTTAATGAAAGCACTTGAAGAATGCTTTAACCCCCAGACAGCATGTAAAAAGGCTATTGATGAATCAGCACTGTTTATTTGTAGAGACCATGTAAAACATTTCAGACATACATTAGACAGACTTGAGGAAGCATATGTAACTCTGTCTGCTAATAGTGATCCACCATGCAACTCTACATACAAAGCAGCAATATTGCTTGCCACTCCTGAGCAATATACACACATAGTAAATATAATAATACAATCTACTGATGCCCAAAACGAAGGCAAACCAGTCAATGAACATAAGAAAGTCAAACCAAAGTAACTAATCCTTGTATTGCAGAACGCCTACAACAATTACTGTGCTAAACAAGCACAAGATTCTAATGATTGGACAAAGAATAATGCACACATTAATACAATGTATAAAGCCAATAAGCAGAGGAAATTCAATCTGCCAAATCTGTTTAATCCAACAAAAGCAAAATGTTTCAATTACAGAAAAACAGGACATTTCTCTAAGGAATGCTGCAAACCTCCTACTGAAGCTACAAAGCTTGCACACACCAAACATCAGGCTAACATTGTGTATAAAACGAATCAAACTGCAGAAAACACAATGAATGCATTTATTATTGAAAACCCAAACGAAAACAATGTTGAATAAAGGAAAGTAATG